AAGTGTTAAAGTGACACGATTGGTGGGTGAAAGGCAGCAAGACCTGCCGGCTTCTCTTTTGTCGAAGCTGGGAGGCGAGTGATTGTCTCCTGGTGAACTGAAACCGGACATCGCGAGATAAAGTAGGGCATGGAAGCAGACAAGACAAAGACAGACCAGATCAGAGCTAACAAGTACAAACACAAACCACAGTCAGTGCAACGCCCTAAAATGAGCTCCACATAATAAAAGCACCTAAAACAATCACCTAGAACTGGCAATTAAAAGATAACCACACTACTATCAGCAAAAAATAGAAACATAACAAAAACATCAGATCAAAATGCAAGCTACAAAAACCATAACCGTATAACCTGAGATGGGTACAAGAACTCAATGTATTAAAGATAAGTAAAAGAACCAAACAGAGACACCTAACCGACCTAATACACTCAAAATACAGGCAATCGACAGGGACCGTCGAATGGCACTGAACACCTTTGCAGCTGTAACAATCCAGAGACAACAAACAGACTCCAAAGTGAAGTACCATCTGACAATGATGTCGTGAGATGGCATGCATATGAGCCTCGTCACTGGGCTGCTGCTCCACTGCTACCACAACCCCAACAACAAAAAACACAACACCAAATCACAAAAACAAAAACACACAAAACAACACCAACCAACCGCCGAACTTCTGTGCGCTTTCATTTAGTCCAGCTCCTGGTTTCTGTTTACTGCCTAGCGGTAGTATAGGCTTTTATGTTACAAGTGCTAAATTAGCCTGTGTCTTTATCCACTTAAACTACTGAGCAGTAAACAACAGTGCAGTAATATACTCTTTACAATACTACCGAAGTAACTCAATTGCAACTAAAGATTATTCTTTATTATCGATTAATCTCCGTGGGAGACTAATGTACTGTTATGTAGCACTTTATTCTTTATCTTCTGCTGCTTCCGGTGGTCATTATAGAAACATAGGGCTGATGGTCAGAACAGTGATCACAATTACACATCTTGAGGCCGAGAGCTGACAGAAATGTTACTATCCTTTATATTTAAGTAAATATTATCATCTTATACAGAATGGACAGTTTGAGAGTATGGTATTATAATGTATAGCCTATTACATTGTAAGTGATGGATTTATATGTTAGAAGTACTTAACTGCTATATACTGCAGCTACTGATGGATATAGTTCATATTTAACGTTGCTTCATATTCTATAAGGTGATGATATAATTTGTAAAATAATAGCAAACATCAAGTTAGACTCAGGTCTGTTTTTAAGCACTCACACACTTAAGATGTTCTTATGTTTCGTCAGATGTTGGTTCTGAAGACATTCTATTTGTGTTCTAAGGGCTGAAATGACAAATTCACTTGAATCTTCAATCTGTATAGTAACTATAAACTAAAGCTCTCACATAGGGTTAAAAACTACAATACTTTGCTCTGAAAATGTAGTGTTGTTGTAGTGTTTTTTTCTTGTCAGTTTAATTCAGTGGGGAAATCTGACTGGAAGAAGTATTGATCTCAGATATCATTCATATGTTTTGAGGATAATAGTGTGCACTGTATTTTTAATGAAAGATCACATTTCCACTTTAGGACCACCAGAGGGCAGCAGAGACTGTAGAGTGATACAAGATTTGACATATCTAGCTAGTGTCTACTAGCTCCTCATTAACAAACTAACAGTGATAATGTATTCCTTATTTTGATAAGGACATTTCTGACCCCATAGGTACCCAGACCACCCTTTGGGAAAGACTAATACATTAAAAAGAAACAGCTCTACAACTTGGAAGGCTCTTTGAAGCAGCAGACAAACACCACACTGGTGTTTGTCTGCTGCTGCTTCTGATGGCCATGGCCCCAGACTGAAGGTCAAAGGGCCAAAAGTTCAGACAAAACAGGGCTCTACTTCTGAAGCTGACCCATGCAGAGGGGTCAAAGTTCAAATACAACAGTCAGGCAAACAGTGGTCCCACACAGGAGCACGAGGAAAAAGAGAGATGGTAAGGAGATTATTAACGAAGTGTATTTTTCCCCGTTAAAAATGTGTATTTATAAAACTAAAGCACACATATTGAAATCAAATTGTGGCCTGCAGCTGGATTAATAGCTTCAGCTTCTTTCCCTTACATAATCTCTCACCCCTTCTTCCCTCTTCTGTCCGTTCCAAGTCTTCCCTCCAAGAGCATATCACCCCCTTCCTTTACCCCAAATCATCAGCTCTCTTAAGGCACACCCAGAAACAGATATATGAAGACGTTTTGGACTGCAGCCAGCATGCAGTTATCATCTCAATGTCGACTGATGTCAGTAAAGCTCCACCGACAAACACTCAGCACTTGTTGACTGCTGGAATGTGCTCTGTACATTTTTTCTTATTTCATCACTCTCTTTCTCTTTCTGACTTGAGTTGGGTCAAATATCGTTCATACGACTCAATGCTCTGCTTGAGTACGTAGTGTGAGTGCCAAGTGTGCAAAGACTTGTTCT